AGGCGCAGGGGGCCTGGACCAGCATAGTGAGGACCCCCCCGGCCCCCCACCACATCTCTACAAAAAATTAGCCACACCTGAAGTCCACTACTCACGAAGCTGAGAGGCAGAGGATCACTTGAGCCTGGGAGGTCCATGCTGCAGTGAGCCATGATGGTGCCACCGCACTCCAGCCTGGCAGAGAAGACCCTGTCTCAAAACAAACAAAAAAACCACCTAAGTGAGCATTTGCTAATTATATGTTCCACATACATGTTCTGAGTTCCCGAAAAACCCACACCTGTTGTTTCAATCTGGGGACTCCAGAGCTCCACCTGGAACCAATCAATCAGAGCTCACCTGATTACCATCGAGGCCTAGATGATTCAACCAACCAGCATCCTTGTATCAACCAACAGAATCACGTTACACTGACCAATCAGAACTAAGCAAGTTTCAATCCTTCCTTTACATGTGAACCTGATTGGAAACCTGCTATATGTTGCTATAAATCCAGAACCCTTGCTTTGTTTTTGAACACATTCTGTTTTACACAGAAGGCCGTATCTCTGTGTTTGGAAGCCTGTTTCAACAGCAATAAAGTCTCTTTGCTTCAAATCTTTTCAGAGAACTTCTGTTCACACGTTGCTAATGGAGTGAGTTAAAACAGCCTGGAAAGGAAGGAACTACTTTTGTTTGAGGGGGAAAAGCCCCATACAGTACTACTGTATATGAAACTCAGAAAATTCAAGCTTATCTCTAGTGATTACCAGGGGAGAGGGGGATTACAAAGAGCCACGAGGAAACTTTTATGGGTAATTATGTTATTCAACAGCTTGACTGGGGTCATGGTTTCACAGATGCACACCACATCCAAAGCATCAAATTGTACTATGTGCAGTTTGCTGAAGTGAATTATACCTCATCTGCCTTTTTTTTTTTTTTCGACGCTGGTCTCAAACTCCTGGGCTCAAGTGATCCACCTGCCTCTGCCTCCCAAAGTGCTGGGATTACTGGTGTGAGCTACAGTGCCAGGTCCCACTTAGGTCTATTTTAAATTCAGGCCCAGTTAACCACTGGGGATTCATCTTAAAGGATTGGCTCTTTCAAGTTCATGTTTGTTCACATAATTTTACTGAGATAAATGCTTGTTGAGGTATGAGAATAGGAATAGTGGTATTGTAGTTAAACTAATTAAGTGGCTCCTGGATCATCTTCAATCCTGTAAGAGTTCTGTATTAGTTTACTGAAAGAGCAAATACGAGGCTAAGGAACAAAATCTTTATAATTTCAACAATGATGACTTTCCATTACTGAAACTAAAGGAATATTTATTTATTTATTTAGAGACAGTCTTGCTCTGTTACCCAGGCTGGAGTGCAGTGGTGCAATCTTATTTACTGCAACCTCCGCCTCCTGGGTTCAAGTGATTCTTGTGCCTTAGCCTCCTGAGTAGCTGGGATTACAGATGTGTGTGTCACCACATTCGGCTACTTTTTATATTTTTAGTGGCGACAGGGTTTCGCCATGTTGGCAAGGCTAGTCTCGAACTCCTGGCTTCAAAGGACCCACCCGCCTCAGCCTCCCAAAATGTTGGGACTACAGGCATAAGCCACCAATGACTGGCTAGAAAATAAAGGATTTTTAAAAAATATTTTTTCAGTGTTGTGAGCTAAATTATTTTATTTCTTGTTTTGTTTTGTTTTGTTTTGTTTTGAGATGGAGCCTCACTCTGTTGCCCAGGCTGGAGTTTAGTGGTGTGATCTCAGCTCACTACAACCTCTGCTCCCCAGTTCAAGCGATTCTCCTGCCTCAGCTTCCCAGGTAGCTGGGATTACAGACGTCCACCACCACGCCGGGCTAATTTTTGTATTTTTAGTAGAGACAGAGTTTCACCATGTTGGCCAGGCTTGTCTTGAACTCCTGAACTCAAATGATTCACCGGCCTCGGCCTCCCGAAGTGCTGGGATTACAGGCGTGAGCCACTGCACCTGGCCAACTAAATTAATTGTATTACTTCAAAATTCATAGGTTGAAGCTCTAACCCCCAGTACCTCAGATGTATTTGGGGATAGAGCCTTTAAAGGGGTGATTAAGTTAAAATGAGTAAAATGTGGTCATTAAGATGGGTCTTAATCCAATTGACTGGTTTTCTTATTAGAAGAGATTAGGACCTGCAGAGAGACATCTGGGGCACACAGGCACAGAGGAAAGATCATGGGAGGACATGGCAAGAAGGCGGCTATCTACAGCCAAGATGAGAGGCATCAGGAGAAAACAAACCTGCTGACACCTTGATTTCGGTATTCTAGCATCCAGAACGCTGAGAAAAATACATTTCTGTTGCTTAAGCCACCCAGTCTGGTATTCTGTTACAGCAACACTAGCAAACTAGTATACAGAGGTAACTTAATCAGCCTAAGATTTAGCATAAAACTCTTATTTTAAAGGTTCCCAAAGTGAAGTATTATCCTGTTGATCTTAAAGGAAAAATGAGATGTTTCCCAACATTCAATCCTCAAGAGAGACCTACAGCCTCAGTGACTTCACTGAAAAACAGTCATTCCAGAAGGGGCCACAAGCAGGGGCTGGTAGTATTTCATTGCTCTGGGTGCTGGTTACATAGTGTGTTGTTTCTGAGAATTCACTGAGCGATTCACTTATTCAATTATGTATCCTTTTTTTTTTTTTTTTTTTGCATGTATATTATAGTGAAATGATAGTTTAAAAAAGCTACCAATCTTGCCAAGTTACCTTCAAAGTCAGT